CTGGTTTTTTTATTTGCATATGGAGTAAAGTGGAAGGGAGAGTGAAGATCATCCCGCAGGTCCATCTCCATGGAAACAGGAGGCTTGATGCCATGGCAATACCATGGCGGTAGGGGCCAAGTCATCAGGGATTCTCAGGGCACAGGTTGACAATTACAAACCAGGAAGGTCTCTCAGCTACACCTGAGAGGAACCTGCTAGGCTTGCTTTAAGGGAGCTTGTCGTTAATTTCCTTTAGGGAAAGTCGGGTCTGTGGCTTCAGGGCCTGCTCCATCCCGAGTTCTGAGAGGTCATCCACCCCTCGGCTTAGCCAAAAGGACCCCTCTCCTTCCTCAAAGGTTCTAAGAAGTGGGTGATGGCGCCTCCTTGGCTTGGATTGGTTGGTGTGGGTCATATGCTTTTCCCAGAACCAATCGCTGCAGCGGGAATGAGGCCGTGCTCTGATTGGCCAGACCTCGTCAAGCCCCACCCCTCGCGCGGGTGTCCCATCAGCCCCGCCCACCCACCCACGCCACGTGGCCGCGAGTTCTGGGACAGAGCAGGGAGCCCTGGGGCCGTGGCTCCTGGGGTGTCTTGTCCCAAACTGTTTATTGAGTGGGTGCACCAGTTTTACACCCTGAGAATCTCAAGAATTGGGGGTTGTTACCCCATTTTGCAGATGATATGGGGGCGCAGTGGAGTTAGCAGCCTGCCAGGCAACTGCCAGTGTGGGCCAGGTCTGGGTTGGCTCAGGTAAGGCTGCCTGGAGCCCGTGCGTGCCCACAGCCTGAGCTATTTATCTTTCAGCGGACAAAATGCGGGGTCGGATCCCTGGCGAGGGCATTCCGCCCAGCTCTGGTAGAAGGTGCCTCTGTGTTCCCAGCAGCCACCCTGGGGTGCCAGGACTGCTCTTGAGTTAGAGAAATTTCACGAGGCGTGTACTAAAAAAAAAAGCACCATTTATCGGAAAGGCATCCTGTATCTACCCGGCGGTGACGCCACTGCAGTAGTGTCACTAGAGTGCAGACGGGAGTCCAGGCTCTCCTGCTGCTGAAGTCCGAGCTGCCCTGGGGGAGGGTCTGCCTGTTGGAGGAAGGGCTGCACACACGGCCCCCCAGCCAGGGGGCTCCTCCCCCGCTCTGTGGACCACCGGGTATTCAGCCCCCGGCCCCCATATGCTGACCTCGTCTGACTTGGCTTCTGAGCTCGATTCCTTATCAGTCCGGGGACACAGTAACCTCTGCTCTTCTGCTGTCTTAGGGTATAAGGGTGAAAAGGACCCGTCGATCGTAAAGTCAGGGGTCCCCAGGATGACACCCTACTTCTCCCCAGATTCCTCCCTCCCCTGCACGGACCACCTACTGTGCGCGTGCTGCCTGTGGTCTGGTTACCAACAGACGCAGCCTGAGTCATCCCAGAGCTGCCTCCTGACAGACGATCTGCCATTTCCAGCATCTCAGCTCCCTTCCCATTAGCTACATCTTAAATTACATCTTAAGAAAGCCCCCGTGGGTCCCTTGCAAAGATTGAGGAAACACCCTATTTTTATCAGCAACACACAGAAATCATCTCCTGGGAGGGGTGTTTCCTGGAAAGACGCTAAATCGCAGTCATTTTATCTTGCTTCTTGTCAGTTTCAAGCTTTTCTTTCCTGATCTTATTCCTCAAGTTGTCTGTTTGACAAGCCGGCATGGGGAGCCCGCCTCCGAGGCAGGCCCTGGCCAGGGCGCGGGGGGCCGCTTGGAGCCCGCTCAGAGCAACAGGGACTTGAAGGATCACCAGAGCGCCAGGGGCACAGAGGGACCCAGGCAGGGCAGCCGGCGGGGTGCTCCGGGTGGGAGGACTGGCAAATGGAGGCCAGGGAGAGCGCGGTGACCTTGAGCTAGAGATATTTGGGGTTCCCTGGAAGGCAGGGCAAGTGGTGGGCCATGCTGGGGTCGAGGTGCGAGAGCGTCCTGAGGCCCTTATGCCTGGGCTGTGACACCATGACAGGTGACACTTGGCCCTCCCCTGTGCCGGGCTCTGTCCCAAGCGCCGAGTCCACATCTGAAGACAGAGCGCCCTCTGCACCCCTGCGGAGGGTGTTCTGTGACTCGCGCGAAGGCACACCTCGCACGGCAGAGCTGAGACTGGAGCCCTGGCGCCCTGCTGTGCCACGGTGCCACGGCCCCCAGGGATGCCGGCCCTGCTCCGTGGGCTGCCCTGCATGCTGTGTTGTAGTGGCACCCGGACCATCTGTGGGGCCTGTCTGTGGCCCACGAGGTGCCTGGCTTGATGACAGGTGAGATGGGTGGGCGGTGGGTCACGCAGTTCCTGGATGCCCCCCACTCCTGCTGGGTAGGGTAGCTCTTCCTTAGCTGCTGGGGGAGGGGTCATCCCGCCGGGGGGCATGTGCCGCTGGGCAGGCAGCAAGCTTCGGAGCCCTCGGAATCAGCCAGGACGCTGAGCTGCCAGGGACAGAGCCCCCGGCAGAGGGGAGCCGGCCCAGAGGAAAAGCACGGACCCAGAGGTCGGAGGGAGGAGGAGAGGGCAGGTCTGGGAAGGGGCAGCTGAGGCAGTGATCGAACCAGATGGCCGGTGCTGCCTGCTCCAGCCCCGGCCTCAGCCTGCCTGTGCTGGCAAATTCCTCAGGCCACCAGCGAGCAGGATGGCCGTCAGCGCTTCCAGCTCCCGGAGCTGCCTCAGCTCAGGGACTGGGCTGCCTGCCCCGTGGCCGCCTGGGCTCACAGGCCCCTCTCGAGCCAGCCAAGGTGTCTGGGGGCCTGGGAGCCAGGGGATCCCATCTTGCCCGGCCCCCACCCCAGCAGGGCCACTGCGGAGCCTGTCTCCCCAGACAACACCCCGGAGCTTGGAGCAGCCGCTGTCCCCTGGGGTGATGTCAGGACGAAAGTACTCCTTCAAAGCAAAATTACTTACCTAATTAGGCGCTGGGGAGCTAGCGGGAGGTAGTGGGGGTTTTTGTTGATTTTTTTAGACTTTTAGCACTGAAGCTGCGTGATAAAGTAACTGTGTAATTAGGAATTAATTTCTCACTCCTGCAAGTGATGTCTTACTTGGGGCCTGAGGGAAGGCAGCCTGGGGGTTATTCACCCACAGAGTGGCCGCTCCTCACCTTCTCTTTTTTGGGGGGACTCTCACAGCTGTGGTGAGGGGAGGAGGAGGGGGACAGAAGGGAGGTGCTTCTATCTATCACGGGGGCTTTTCTGCTAAACGTGTTCTAAGCGCCGGCTGTGTGGGACTGGGGGTGTCTGAGGAAGACAGTGCATGGCCCGTGTCCAGCCTGCCCACAACACCCCCCAGTATTGGAGTCTGAGGCATACTTCACAGTCTCTCGGGGAACCCCAGCGGGGCTGCACCCCATTCTCCACAGTGGTAACCTGCTTATGAGCAGCCCTCTTTGATTCCTTCCCCTCCTCTGTCCAGGGGCTTGGACTTTGCGGCCGGACGTCGGGATGTGGACTCGTAGGTCAACTGCTGCTCCCAGGTGGCTCAGGGTCTGCTCTAGGGCACCCCGACCGACCTGCCGGGGGTGTGAGCCCAGTGAGAGCAGGGAGGGGTGACTGCAGCCTGCGGAGCTGGGGGGGTGGGGGTGGGGGCTGAGCAGGGCTTGGGGAGGGGGCCTGGAAGGAATGAAGGCGAGAAAGAGGACTGCAGGGCAGGCGCATGGCAGGCTGGGGCTGGGACCCGCCGGTGAGTGGCAGGGATTTCTCCGCTCTTTCCTAGACGCCCAGCCCAGGCCTGCCCAGGCCCCTCACTTGCCCACACCGGGGCTGCACCCACAGCCCCTTCTGCCTGGATTGCAGTCCCCCTCTGTCCGCGAAACCTCACTCAAACTTTAAGGGGTGTGCACATGCCCCGGGGTCCTCCACAAGGCCTGAGTTATCCCCCTCGGGGCCTCACTGCACAGGCCGCCCTCCCGCGCCCCAGCCCAGCAACACCTTGAAAGCAGCCTGCCTCCTCCAGGAAGTCTTCCTGGATCTCCACAGAGGCGTTTCTCTGGGGCCCGCGCTGTGGCCACCGAAGCCTCCACCAGATTCTACCTACTCGTTGCTCCCTGCCTCCCCCTCCCCCACTGAAAGACAGGCCTCCTCGGACCCCCAGCTCCAGCTGGCCGGGGGTGCCCCTGCTCCCACCCCCCACCGCCCCCACGCCTGGCTCCAGCACTGCGGCTGGCTCCACCTGTCAGCACCAGCAGCGGCGAATGGAGGCTTTTCCCAACCACGCAGACCCGTCTGACTGCGGTGAGGCGCAGTCGAGTGGAAGTGCCTCTGCCTGCAAGGCCTCCGTCCACCGCCCCGCGCCCGCTCACACCATCCACACAGGGCACACGCCAGGGCGCACGGGCACGCCCGCTCCTCGGCCAGCCTCACGCACACACGCCCACGTTCAGGCCAGGAGGCATCAACGCGGCAGATCTAGACCTGAAGATGGACGCGGGGTTCGGGGGGTGACAGCAGGGGTGCTCCTGGGCTGGTGGGGAGGCACAGGGTGGTCTGAGAAGGGGCACCCAGGCACCCCGGGAGGGAGTGTGGGGGTGAGGCATCCTCGTATCTGGTAGCGAGAGCTCTCCAGCAGCCCGGGAGACGTGTGGCCCTGTGGGGGCGCCGCCTCGTGCACCCCAGCTTCAGACAGGCCCCCGCACGCCCACCCCCGGACACAGAGCCTCTCCCTCTGCCCTGGCCGCTCCGTCCTGCCGTGGTGGTACCGGCCCAGGGAGCTGCTTCCCGGGATGCTTCAGGCCTCACTGGCCGCGGCTGGGGGTCCTTCGCCCCGCCAGGCTGAACTCCCCCGGACTAGGGCCCCAGGGCACATGGGCCAGGCTCTTACGCTGGGCTTCTGGGAACAGTTTAGGTGACGGTTCCCAGCCCCGCCGACAGAGGGGACAGCGTGGGGACAACCTGTGGCCCCACAGCCATGGGCCTGTGGGTGCTGGTCCTTTGCCGCTCCCTGTCCCGCGCAGGGCGGGCAGCGACCACCCACCTGTCCCTGCCCTGCCCCTCACCGCGCCTCTCTCTCCACAGGATGGTCGAGTACTCCCTGGACCTGCAGAACATCAACCTGTCTGCCATCCGCACCGTGCGTGTCCTGCGGCCCCTCAAAGCCATCAACCGCGTGCCCAGTGAGTGGCCCCCAGCCCTGTCCCCCCGCTGCTTGCTTGCCCTGGAAAGACTGACCCGCCTCTTCCAGGCCAGGCCTGTGTTGGGCGCGGGGACCCATCACTGACCCCACAGATGTGGGCCCTGCTCCCTCTGGGCTCATGGGCCTGTATTTGGGGCCTGAAGTTGCTGCAAGGGGACCCGACGCCTCTGTGTCCCCAGCCATCGGCTTACAGTGTGCAGGGCTGGGGGAGACAAGGTTGGGCTGTCACCGTAGCCTGTGTGTGTGTGTAAGCTGCTTAGTTTGGGGGTGTTGTACGTGCAGCATTTCACTGGGAGGGATCCCTACCACTTGTGCTGACGGACGGCGCGTGAGCTCTGCCGACCCACTCACCCCCCCCACTCTCACTGCACCCACAGGCCCACACACCCACCTGCTGGTCCGCCACCTCGCGTAAGAGAGGCCATCTCATAACAGCAGGCCTCACGTCTGTCCAGCTGCGCCGTCTCCAGCCTTCACCTCCGTGATTCCTTTGAACATCACACCTCCGAGTGGGAGGTGACTTCCGATGACAGCACCACACTCCAGCCAGAGAGGCCCGCTTGTGGGCTCGGAGGCCCTGCCTGGGATCGTCGTGGGGAGGGTGGCGGGGGGCGGCCCGGTCCCATTCCTTTGAGAGGGCAGGTGGGCTCAGGTTGGGCGAGACACCGAGGGGCCCTGGGGTCTCAAGGTCGCACATCTAGGCCACCCCCACCCTTGAAACTTGGACATGAAGGGAAACTCCAGGGGGCCTGAGAGCTGCTGTGAGGTCTTGGGGGGTCGGGGGGGGGCCAGTGGTGGGGTGGGGGAGGGGAAGTTGCTGTGCCACCTTGGCCTCCTGCTGCCCTAGGAGACCCAGGGGCAGAGAAGGGGCACCGTGAGGGGGCATCCCAGTGCCAGCTTCTCTCTACCCTTCCTAGCCTCACCTCTACACATAACTCCCCAAACATCGCCCATTCAAAGCCATCTGTACCCCAGTGGCCACATGAGGACAGTGGGGCCCAGAGAGGCGCCGGGGCCAGCTCCAGGTCACCCAGCATGTACTAAACTGACACCCAGTTTCTAACCAGCGCCCCATGCCCACAGGCCCTCCACTGCCCCAGAGCTGCATGTGCTTGTCTGGGGTCACTCGGGGCCTTTGTACTGACCCTGCACTGCGGTCTCAGAATCTGCTGGATGCAAGACAGGGACGTGGGGGACATTGGGGAAGAGAAGGTTTGGGAAGGAGGGAGGCAGGGAGACGCGGGTGGGGGTCTCTCTGGGGGCGAGCCTGTGCACCCGTGCACCCACGGAGGCCACGCGTGTATGCATGGGCAGACGCGGGCTGTGTCCAGGTGTCCAGGTGAGGCTGGCGGCCACAGTGGGGTCTGCCCAGGGGTGTGGATCCCAGTCCCCCCAATAGCCAGGCTTCCGCGGCCCTGGGGCTCATTCTTGTCAACAGTAGCCTGTAGCGCTCGCGTTGACCGCTAGATGGCGAACTAGAGAGCCGGCAATGGACATCGTCAAATGAAGCTTATTAATGGCCACGCTGAGGCCCCCCCGCGAAGCCCCCACACAGCCAGCCGGTGTTTGTCAGGAACGGAGCTCAGCTTGCCAGCCCGGCCTGCAGTGTGACCTGGGACGTCTCGGGCGTCTCTGGGCCTGTCCCCTGCGGGAAGGAGCAGGCGGGACGGTGGGGGCTGCGCGGGTCTCCACGCGGTCGCGGGTGGGCGCAGGCCGGGAGCGGGTGCGCTTCGCGGAACCCACACCCACCCTGCAGGTCTCTGGAGTGTGGCGGGAGGGAGGACGCGCCTCCTGTGACAGGAGCCTGGACTCCGCTTCCCTGCCAGGCGCCCTTTCATCAGTCACTGGCCCTTTGGGGCCCTG